TTTGTAGTTGTCAGTGACATTAATAAAGATAATATCTTAGATATTATCATTGCTTCTCGAACTGCAGATCGAATAAATGTTTTTCTTGGTTACGGCAATGGAACTTTTCGAGATCCAATGAAGTACGCTAATGGGGGTATGCCATACTATCTCAGTGTAGGAGATTTCAATGATGATACATACTTGGATGTCGTAACCAGTAATGCAAATAGCGATGATATGAGTATTCTGCTTGGCTACGGCAATGGCTCGTTCAGTAATCAAGTGAGATATCCAACCGGTTCACTTCCACAGTCTATACTTGTTGGTGATTTTAACAACGATCAACGACTTGATATTGTTGTTGTAAATACAAACAATGATGATATAAGTGTATTTTTAGGCAACGGAAATGGATCGTTCCAAGCTCAAAACAAATATCGTACTGGTACGAGTCCGGTATCCCTTGCTATTGGTGACGTTGACAATGATACACAATTGGATATCATAGTTGCAAATAGTGGAAGTAATGATATAAGTGTCTTGCTTGGCGTTGGTGATGGAACTTTCAAAAATCAATCAAGATATTCCACTGATTCTCAACCAAACTCAATAATCATCGGTGATTTGAATAACGACACATTCCTCGATATTATAGTTGCGCATTCGGTTAACAGTAGTATAAGTGTTCTGAATGGTTATGGTAATGGAATATTTGCGTCTCGAACGACGTACTCGACCAATGCAGGTGCACTTTCTTCAATTTCTGCTGACTTTAATAATGACAAACGCATGGATATAGCCGTCGTTTGTTCTGGTTCGTCGCAACTCGATGTGTTTTTTGGATCCATCAGTCAATCATTTATCAAACGCACAACCTTAAGAACTGGCAGCGGGTCACGACCAAGATCGTTAGTTACAGGCGATTTTAATAATGATAATCACATAGACATTGTGGTGGCAAATTCAGGTACAAATAATATAGGTCTGTTCCTGGGCTATGGAAATATCTCTTTTACCAATCAAACAGCTACTACTCTTGGTTACTCGCCCTGGTCCATCGCTAGCGGTCATCTGAATAACGATGCTCTATTGGATATTGTCGTTGCTGATTATTACAATGGTAGTATCAGTGTACTCGTTGCATCTGTAAATACTTCGTTTGCACAACAACAAGTGTTGTTAACTGGTGTTGGATCGAAACCATATGCCATTGTCACAGCTGATTTTAATAATGATAACTCGCAGGATATTATTATTGCTAACTATGGTAGCAATACGATTAGCCTTTTCCTCGGCTATAGCAATGGCTCCTTCAGCAGTCGAATGAAAATTTCAAATGGTTATGGCACTAATCCATTTTCGATTGCCGTTGGTGACTTTAATAATGATTGTAAACTGGATTTTGCCGCTATCAATGAGAGCACGGATAATTTAAAAATTTTCTTACAAACTTGCTAGGCTATAAATGAACAGATGTATTTTTGGTGATTAACTGTGAATAAAATCTATTAAGTGACAAAATCACTCAGCTATATGCTTTGAATTAACTCCACCTAACACAGTATAGTAAACGAAAACATGTCATCCGGGCATAGCTGCCCGGATGCGATGATATAGATCACGTACTAGGTTTCTAAATAATCAAAATTCAACTTCTTCAAACGGCCGTCGCCTGCTAATAATGAGGAACCATTCAATTACTAGCCGCGACATGACAGTAATAACAGTACAAATAGTGAAAGTATCATGAATTTATGCTAAACGATGAAAATTAAACGCATAAATTCTATGACAGCGATACAACCGTAATTGCTAGATCTGTTATTAAAGATTCGTTGATATGGAGTTTTATACAAACAAGTAGCGCTCATCCGTTGGATTAGCTGAGCCTTTTCTGAAAGTACCAGAAAACTCGTAGATAAACGCTCTCACTTAGATCTCAATCTAATTGGGTTCGAATTGAAGTCAGTTTTATGCTCATTCTTTCATTTTCTGCTTTATTCATGTCAGATTACTTTCAATTCATTTGTTCAAAGACGTAAACAAAACGAACACCGTTTATGTGTACCATCATCAATAGATAATTTGTAAATAACATCGAATGTGCATAAATTGTATTGATATAATGAAATGATTTGTTGCCATTCAGTGTTTCACCGCATTTATTGAAATGTATATGATTTGAATAAATGAAGAAAAATTATGAAAATTTCTTGTAATTCGATAGCTGAAAGCTTTGTTTATACACTGGTTCAATTGCTACGATAATCAATGACGATAAGTTTGCAAGGACATGGTTAAAAGTATATTTATACATTCAATGTTTTGAATAAGTTTTTGGTTACTAAAAAGGACTGATAAATATACCTATAGATAGCATTTAGAATAATACGTCAAAAGTGTCAATTAACATCAGAAGTATAAATTATAATTAGTCTATAGTTGCTTGATACACTGCTGCAAGACACAACAGTAATTGGTATAAATCTAGAGCGTTTTTTAAATGATGTAAGAACAGTTCGCATGAAATTTTTCAACTTAAATACACTATAATTCAATCGAACATAAAACTTTCATTCATAGCTTATCTAAATTTGAATATGAATTTAGTGAAGTGTAAATATCAATTATTATTTCAATCAATGTCTTGGATAAGATCTATTAGATTGTCATTATTATTTGAAAGAAAAACAAAAAGAGAAGTCAGTTCATCATCTCTATTCCATTATTGATAATATTCTCCTTGATTATCATCATAGTTAAATTGATCATTTGTATTCCATGAGTTATCATCCACATAATCACGAGCGCTATCATCAAACGAATCAATTTCAAAATCGTTTTCGTCAAATTGTTCAATTGTGCGATAATCATCGCTATTATCCTCATCATAATTATAATTATCAATATTTTGATAATCAATTTCATCATTATAATCCCAATTTTCTTTTCCAAAATCATTATTCGATACTTTACGAATCGTCCATACGTCAAAACAAAGATCCGAATCAGTCAGATAATCATATGGAATATAACAATAACCACGATCACCCTATAAAATATCAATCCAAAATTCGCCTTAGACATCTCTCGAACAATTTCTTACCCAATCTTCTCCCCAAGAATTTCGAACAATAAATGATTGAGATTGATCACTATAACCAACAGCTACCAATGCATGGCTAATAACAATAGAAGAAAATAAGCTTTGTAAATTGAAGAAAACTTTGTTATACCTTCCATCAGATTGACGATTACGATCGTTAGAAGTTGGCATTGGTACAACACCTGTTTTAGCTGCTTTGTCAAATGATGTAAATAGATGAAGTCCAAATACAAAAGGAAAACCTTGAGCAAGACATGATTTCATTTCATGTAAATTAATATCGACTTGAAGTGCTTGTGATATTGTATGAGATTTAGCTGATGTATATACTTCTTCATTTGGACGTGTATTTACTTTAGAAATATCATAGGGCCATAATGATTCCAGACAAGTACCAAGTTCTTCAAGTGCTTCAATAGCAGATGTCATTGAACAACCTGAATCTGTAATTGGTTCTGATGGTTGATCTTTTTCACGACTATTATAATAAATAAATAGTCGACTAATATCAATACTTTCGCCATGAAGTTTCTTTATTAAATATTCATATGCTCCTATTCAGAAAAATCTCAATTATAAAATTGTATTTGGAATTGATTTTTACCTGCTAGGGCATTAGCTGAACTAAAATCAAGAACAAAACAATCAATATTATTGTTAAATCTATTTTGAAATGTAGTTACCAACTGCCAATACTTGATTGATTTTCTAACGTTGTCATATCATTTCGAAGATCAACTTTCGGTGGAAGTTCTTCAGGAGTATAAGTTACACGATTGTTGAAAGATTGACATAAATTTCCTTTGTTTGGTAAACGATTTGAAGGCCAAATACCATTTAGACGATATTTATGATTAGAAAGTTTGTTTATTAAAAATGTTTTTCGTGACATTATATTAACGTGATTATACACTGTGTGAAAAGAAATAAATTATCTGTTCTTTTTCTCGTTCACTCTCAACGACTATATTTTTTATTCGTTTCAATGATTTACACATGTATAAATATGTATTTAGTTAGGAAGAAAAAATATTTTCTTGTCAAATATAATTGATCAGTTATAATAATGACATCACGGTTAGTTTATTTAGTAATGGATAAATGAATAATCATTACGTTTCTAATCAAATTTGATGAATAATTATTTAACATTGTTTCTGGTGATTTTTGCAATGGAGAAATATCATAATGTTCTTTGAAATTTGTTTTTATTGAAGTTTTCATAAAGTACAATCAAATCTTAAATAATGACACAAAATTTCTTAGAAAAAAAGATTTCTTATGAGCAGATGATTGTGTTAGAGGATAAGAATAATCGTCAATTCTACGTGATTTGTGGTGAAGAAAACGATTGTATTGCATACTGTTGAGTACAAGTAGCGCTCATCCGTTGGATTCGCTGACCCTTTTCTGAAAGAATTTAAAAATTAGTAGATAAAAACTCACTTAGATTTCAATTTAAGCGACTTCGAGTTGGAGTCATATATACAATGGAAAAATTGATTCATTGTTCGACCTTTTTCATCATTAGATATATTTAACGAAGTAATCGAAGCAGGCGGCGACCGACGAAAGATAAGTTAGCAGTAAAATCGAGTTTATGCGTCGTATAATTATCGACTGCATGATGAAAATGTTTGCATACGAGACGAATTGAATGGAAGATGGTGAAAGTATCACAACGATCAAAAATGCAGTAGAGTACTTCGAGTGGTATTTTCAAAATATCTGTATTCGCCATGAAAGTGCCAAAGCTTGCTAACAATATCTCGATAAAAAATAAGAATAGCACGTGTCCGTATGTTTATTACGAATGTCTATCTATAGAACGGAATAACACTCATATATATATATGGTAGAACTAGATAAATCCATATATGAGTATTAGCGTTGTCTTCGCTCGAGAGACGAAACTCAATCTGTTTATTCGAAAACAGAACAAAGAAGAATGTAGAAGAACGATAAGAGAAAACAGATGGAGAATGATGTGAAGGTATGTTATGAACATGCCTGTAACATACCTCCCCACCAATGAAAAATGTGTCCACACATTAAGAAATAACAACGCGTANGTTTATAAAAGTGTGTGATCTCATTAATATACTGATGACTATAGAGATCCAGCGATCGGACGTCAGTCAGCTATTACATTTTGTTCTACATATTGCCGCTTAAAACATTATCGTCTAAAAAATTGATTCTCTGTCGTAAAAAACGGATCAGAAAGTGTTCATGAAAAAACTAACACCGGATTCGAGTTCCTCGGCCTCGATTACCCTTCAGTCAACCCTTCTTAGTCGGAGATGTAGACTGCTTTTTCGTTAGTGTAAAGTACGTGAACGGACGAACGCGCGGACAAGCGAACGAACTTTAGCTCAAATTCTGTGTATACCCTCCTTTCAGCAGGTAAATTTCCGATTAGTACAGGACGGGTTCCAGTCTTGCTTGCTGTTTGGTTATAATACGAATCTATGGGATTTCTTCCGATTTAGGATCCTACTTTCATGAAATACCCAAAAGATCGTGGATTCGAGCCGGATTTTTTCACATGCACTATGGATTCTTTCTGATTTTCTTATATCCATTTCGATCCTGACCAATAAGGAAAAGACATGTCTCTGATTATCATATAATTAAAAAAACTCACAGAATTTAATAGAATTCGACTCTTTTCTACTTTTCTTATGCTTTATCGTATTCTTTCGGATTCTATTGGATTTTATGGGCTGTTCAAGACTTTACAAGCCTTTTAATATCTGCTAATTAGTAATATAGTGAATATATTGTGTATTAATTTTGTGAAATCTTAAGTATTCTTAAGATGTGAAATGTCTTACTATTCCCTACCTGATATTGAACAGAACGGTTAAAGTAACTCAAATGAATAAAGAAAAATGCTAGCTCTTATATTTTCTATAAAGTATTTCATAGAAAAAGAGTTTGACTAGATTTACGAATAATAAAAATGATAAATCGGTCATGTTTCTCGACGAATAAAAGAAAATATGATCAAATATTTATATAAATAAATAATGTTCAGTCAATATAACATCCAACCATAAATGTAGAACTATAAGATAAAATTATTTGAATTTGTAGTTCTTATACTTTTTTAAGTAGAAACTACTGATGTTTTAATTATTTTCTCATAAACACAAAATCAGTTCTTTTTCAATTGCTGTTCTACAGATATGATCATCTTTCAGAAATAAATTTCGATAAAAGTATTTGTTTAAAGAGATGCATTAAGAGGAGAATGAGCATATATGTATTGAAAGATAGGAAAATAAATGAGGAAATATGTTTATTTTGAATCAGAGAGCAGAAATATTTTTATGATCTTGTGATTATATTTCGTTAATAAGAATAAATTCTATATTAAAAGTATATTTTTGCACTTCAAATGAAATTATGCGATTACACTAATACGACGTCATAGATCTTTTCTCTCTCTCCCTCTCTCTATTCTTTCATTCTGACATAACGTATTCATTTATCAAAAACTATCGTCATGTGCGTTCTCCTTGAACGCTTGACTATTTCACATATAAACGCAAAAAAAAGGCGACGAGTAGAGAGACAAAATACACGTTTTCTTATTCGGTCGACAAGTACATCTCTATTGCCTTCAGCAAATATTAAAAGACGTTCTTTGTGAAACATGTCCAACATAAGTATTCAAGTTGGAAACGATCGAATTCAAGGGAAATCTATCGGATCGAATCGATGCCAATTCTGGTTACACGATAAACGATTCAATATTGATTCTTCTGATGCAGTTGATGACGCTATAGAAATACTAGCCGACCGAGAAATTACCGTGGAAGGAAAACTGGTCCGTCCAAATGTATGGACAGCAGAATATTCGTTCTATGGCGCTTCATCATGGGGTACCGTTTATATACAGTACACTTTGCAATTCGATACAACATCGATGAAAGGAACTGTCAAAAGTGAAACAAACGTCGATGCTTAATGAAAAAAAACGACTAATAGAGAGTCCAAGATTTTCCATTTTTCACTAGTTGAACTAATTACATATAGAAAAAAAACCTATGTCTATTTACTAATAATTACAATATGCGAAGTTCATTTTCCAGGCTAACTAACATTTACCATTCAGAACAACTCTAGCTTTAATCAGTCCGATAAAAAATTATGATATTGCGCGATATAACAGCTTTTTTTCTCTTAAACCTACTGAATATCATGCGTTTGTTGATATTTACAATTGCGTTTTAGTTGTTGATTAAATATCCGTTAGTAAAAAAAATCATGAGGCAAAAAACTATATGGCTTATGACGTATCTATCATTAAATCTCGAGTTCAACTAAGATAAAATATTATACAGATACATAGTTTTCTTCTACACTCGTATGTTCTCACTTTCATATATATATATTATTTTCATGATGAAGCGCATATTGATCGTTATTCTTTGGAATATATTCATCGTTTCAGGCTCGGACATATCGCAGCCGACCTACAACCTTTACAATACCGACACGATGACAAATGACGTTGACCACGTTTGTTTCTATTTGCCAATCATTAATAATCTCGATATCCATGAAAGATCGGCAATAAGTCAGCAGAATGTGGAATACTGTATTCGAACAAATGAGGAAGGTGTGAGTGATGTCAATGAAAACGCTATATCATCTATATTACCTTTCGATGAATTAAAAAAGAGAAATATTACTTCTGAAAATCTCTTGAAATGGTCGGCTCCTATTGATACTGTCGAACATTACGAACATTATTTACAAACGAACAGATCCACATTATTTATTCAATTTTATAATTGTACTCTGCCATGGTTTGGACCGTTTTGTCAGTATAGAATGATTTCATATCGACCGTTTTCTCATTTCGTTCAAATGAGACTTACCGATAAACAAGTATGGTACAAGAGTACGAAAATAGCCTGTTACATGCATATTCAGTGCAATACTAATCCAGCTTTACTTTGTCTTGACTGGCGTGAGGTATGCGATGGAAAGATTGATTGTTTAAACGGTGGCGAGGACGAAAAAGATTGCTTTGAACTTGAAATCAATCGCTGCGAGGAACACGAATATCAATGTCGGAATGGGATGTGCATTGACAAAGAGTTTCTGCTCGACGGATATGTCGACATGAATAACATGGAATGTTTGGATGGCTCAGATGAAACCGGACATCGTCCGCTGACTTCCTGCTCAAGAGATTCGTCTTTTTCATGCGAAGATATCTTCTCTCCTCGCTTGACAGACTTTAATTGTGGAGATGGAACATTTCTCAGTGTACTCATATCACAAAATCACATCAATTGTGCAAATGAACGAAATCGAGCACTTAATTACTTATCTGATTGGCACAATCCGGGAAGTTCACATTATCCGCGTTGTTTCAAAACTCTCATGTGTGCATCAGGTTTGACATTATTACACAATTTCGATCTGTATTGCAAGAATTTATGTAATAGCAGCGGAGAATGTAAACTTCATACTCTCCAACATTGCCCATCTGCATTTCTCGCACCTGACTTTCCGATATGGCACGGGCATGTTAAATACGGCTATTTTTCGAATCAGACTATTGAAAATATAGGAAATATACCGCACTTTGTATGCTATGACGAGACTCTCTGTCCACACATCGCTTCAACATTCATGCTGGAAAATTCTACGTGCTTACATGTCAACCAGTCAGATCCAAAAGCGATTGATACTGTGTATAGCATATTTCGCTCATGCGATAACACCTTTCAAACCGGAAATGAGGTTAACTGTACGGATTCAACAATGGTGCGTTGTGTGAACACAAATCGATGTATACCGAAGCGTCGAATTATGGACGGTGTTGTAGATTGCTATCATGCTTTTGATGAATCACTTTCGATTGATTCGTGTGCATTAAATGATCAATATCGTTTTCAATGCACATCTGAACAGAAATGTTTAGCGCCGATTTTGGTCGATGATAAAAAAATACATTGTAATAACAGAGAAGATGAAACTAACCTAATGGGAGTTGCTAGAGACATTCATACACTACCGTTTATTGCCTTTTGCGATGGGAAAAATGACCTTTTATCGGTGAATAACGAAACGGAAGAAACTCACTGTGAAGCATGGCCATGTGCAAATGCATATACACGCTGCGATCATTATTGGGATTGCCCAAATGGTATTGATGAAGTTAATTGTTCAACAGTTTTTTCATGTCCTGCAAACCATCATCCTTGTTGGTTACCGCAGACTCATAAGATGGGTTGTTTGCATATCGATCGTGTCGAAGATGGAATTATGGATTGTCTTGGAGCAACAGACGAACCATCCTATTGTAAAGCATTCGATGTAGGAAACAAGTTTCTACACTACCGTTGTTGGAATGATACTAAGTGTGTATCAGTGGCAACTGTTTGTCTATATTGTCATGACATCAATGATGTTAACCTATTATGTAACAAATCTAATCCCGTTGGCGTAGCTTTCATTCGCTACTTTGCTGATCGGGATTTTGCTGGTGCTACTCTAATGTCAAAAGCAAAATTTTCTCATAAGTCATCGTCTGTGTACCCTTCGATTCAATCACCGTCAACAGTTCATAAACAAATATCCAGTAACATGATAAAAACGGAGAAAACATCTCACATTCAACTGCTTGACGACTCCAGATTGTGGTTATGCAACAAAGGTCTCGTAATTCTCGTTGGTAAGAAAGAAACCGAACAATGTCTCTGTCCAGAAACTTACTATGGTGATCATTGCCAGTACCAAAATCAACGCGTTAGTCTTACTCTTCGATTACATCAAGAAAAATTATTCAAATTCACTGTGATTGGCATTATTATCAGACTTGTGGATACAACAGGTTTTATTCAATCCTATGAACAAATTACCTACGTTCCAGTGACTAATTGCAATGCTAAATACAATATGCATCTTCTTTATCACCATCGGCCGAAAAACACAACGGAAAACTATACAATTTATATTGATGCTTATGATAAAGTAGATCTTCTCTATCTCACGAGTTGGATCTATCCAGTGAAATTAAAATTTATGCCTGTCAATCGTATGAGTGTTCAATTGATTATACCTGCAAAGCAAGACTGTCGGTTGGTATGTAGTGAGAAATACTTCGAACTATTAAGAAACGACCATCGCCAATCCTGTCGGTGTGTAAGTCGAATACAAGCAACTGTCGACAAGTGCAACTGTTCTTCTCAATCGATATGTGTTGGTATGAAAGAAAACCGATCTATCTGTCTTTGCCCTCTGCACAAAACAGGACCACGCTGTTATTTGAGTTCCATCTGTGAAACCAACAATTCATGTGTAAATAAAGGCATTTGTGTACCTCATGATTCGCGACATTCTCCGACAAATTATACTTGCGTATGTCCCGATGGATTCTTTGGTAAATACTGCGAACAAACGGACGTGAAAATCAATGTTTCAATTTCGGGTATTGAAACTCCGCAGTCGACACTAATTCATTTCATCGATGTTGCTCAGAGTGCGTCAACAAGAATCAAACGCGATGTAACTCAAACAACAATATTCAAGAGGATCGGAATTAATGAAAATGTTTTAATTTTAAACATGTCGTTATCATTTCATCTTCTGTTTGTTCAGTTCGAGCATTCTTATTATCTTGCGGTTCTTCAGCATGATTACGTACCATCAGTTGTTATTTTATCCGAGATCTCTCCGTCAAGACGTTGTCCGGTTGTCCACGAATTGCTGGACTCATCTATTCTAGCTTATTCAGTTCTACGTCGTGTGAACCGCTATCATTCAATATGCAAACAGTATGCTGAACTTGATTGTTTTCATGATAATTACACGTTTATGTGCTTATGTACAAATGGGCGAGATGCGAACTGTTTTCATTTCAACTACAACACAACTCATAAATGTTCAGGACATAGTAATTGTGAAAATGGCGCACGTTGTTTTCAAGATCATCCACATTGTCCAACGAAAACCATGTGTGTCTGCCAGGAGTGCTTTTATGGTGATAAATGTCAATTCACAAGCCATCATTTCGGTCTTTCACTCGATTCGATTTTAGGTTATCATATTTATCCGCATCTCACATTCGCTGAGCAATCTTTACCCGTAAAAATTAGTATAATTTTATCGACGATAATCGTTGTAATTGGTCTCATTGGTGGTATTCTATCAAATCTAACATTTCAAGTGAAGTTAACGCGACAGACGGGCTGTGGTATGTATCTGTTTGCGTCATCGATAACATCGATTATGATCGTTCTCTTGCTCTATGTCAAAGTTTGGCTGCTTATTATTTCACAAATGCAAATTCTCACTTGGCGATTGATTCTTTTCTTCAACTGCACTCCGGTTGAGTTTGTGCTTCGACTGTTGTTGACTACAACAGATTGGTATCATGTTTTCGTCACCATTGAACGCTTTCTCGTAGTTTTTCTTGGCGTGCGTTTCGATAAATCCAAAAGTCGAGCATTCGCTAAGGCACTCATACTAATCAGTCCTGTACTCATCGCTGCATCGATTCTTCATGATCCGATTCATCGTCATCTAATTGATGATGTTGAAGATCAACGAACATGGTGCATTGTTACATTTGCATTTCAAACGGAAACCTACAATAGATTTATCAATATTTTCCACTTCATCATTCCGTTTTCGCTCAATCTTATTTTAACCATTGGGATTATATTTATCACTGCCAGACAACGCTCGTCAGCAAAGAGACAATTCACTTTTGAGCAACATTTGAAAAGTCAATTTTATCGTCATAAACATCTGATCGTTAGTTCGATTCTATTGGTTGTTTTCATATTACCACGTCTAGTAGTTTCCTTTCTTTCGAATTGTATGAAATCAGCAAAAGACTACAAATTATTCTTAGTTAGTTATTTTATTTCATTCTTTCCGCCTATACTCCATTTCTTCATTTTTGTTCTAACATCGGAAATCTACAAAAAGCAATTCAATGCAATGATCCGACGGAAATGGAAAAAATACCGACGTTGTCTATTTCTGCGACTAGCTTTATCGAAAAGACAGAAATGACTAGAAATCTGTTGCGTTTTGTATAATGTATGTAAGAGTTCTGATTCTAATGAGCTTGTTTTTCTATGAGCGATCATGAAATATTTCGAACAATAAAGACAAACGTAAAAAAACCTACGAAGAATATAGTGTAGATCTTTAATTTATTGGTAATTATTTCCACTTTCCGGAGCTACTCGTTTCGTCTTCCATTTTCGAATGATATACGCGGTTAGGTTGACAACTAACGGTACAGTAAGTTTTAACGCTGTTGCTAAACCACCGACTAATCCAAATAATGTGGTAATTATGGAGATAAGTTCATTTCTTGTTATTCGATTGTCAGAAAATCTAAGCGAAATTGGTTTCGTATATTTATTTACTTCTTTCATGCAAGTCTTTCGAATGCGTTGATCTGTTATAATGATCTGAATGAACAACATATGGATTATATTGACTTCCTCTCCTCTATTTCAATGTCGCTGATTGGTGCTGTTAGTACAAGAAGAAGAAAAGGTAGACCTATTCACTTTTCTACTCAAAAGCAGAGACGAATTCAAATGCCAACGAAGAACAAATCTTTATGAACTTGATTATTAGCACATATGCCTCTTGTTGGACTCAAAGGAGAGTATGAATACTGCAGCACTAAAGCTCGTCCGATATTTAGTAACATAAAGTGCAGTTTTTGTGCTATCTCTTTACGTGTAAAGCAGCATAAAAATTGCTTTTTTTCTATTTCATGAAAACATAGCATACGTTTTGCAATTAAGAAACTTCAACAGTTAAAATTTCCGTTCAGCCTACTTAAAGTTCAAGGGAACTTACTTTGCGCAAATCGACTAATCATCTGTAAGAAAACATGAGATATATCTAACATATACTTGTATATTTAGAAGAAGCTAAGCAAATGATTAACTCGAATTCAATTCAACATAAAAGAATTCGGAAGTCAAATGATTAAACAGTGTGTATTACGCGAACTAAGTCTGATAAAGTGAGAAATAATCTGTAGGCGAATAGGAAGCGAGAGCGAGAGAAAAAAGACGGAGAACAGAGATGATGTGAGACAATGACTAATACAAACACGTCTAACTTACAGAAGTATAACTGCAGTTTTTCAGAGTACAAATGAATATCTAAAAAGTACGTTTTCAGCCTATATTGTTTAATCATGAAGGGATCTGATGACTTTAACGTATCATGTTCTTTCTATCAAAATTGAATATTTAATTATTTAAAAAATGTTATTCCGTTCAAAGAAGAGTAGAAAATGACGTGACACCACCTGGTAAAAATAACTCCCTCTGTCATAATCAAAGGAATTTTACTATACAAATAAAGAAATTAATTAAATGATGTTCCTATCCTGAAAATACGATGATTGTTTTGTTACTCAAATGACTTAATCTGCTATGCCAATTATTATAATTCGCGACGCTATTATTTATACTTGATCTAACAATATTAATAACTTTGCCATATTCTTTTTATTATATTGGATATTCTACCCTTGTAATGGAGCTTTCTCCTTTCTCCTGTTCCCTATTCATTTTCTGACTTATTTTTCAAACTAAGTGTATGTCTTCGTTAAATAGCACTCTCTCCTCGATCTCTCCTTCAACAGAAATCGTTCGTTTTCAATTTATTCTACGACTAGTTGTGGCTGTATTCGGTATACCGATTCTCCTCGTTGGTATACTCGGTAATACAATCAATATTCTCACTTTTCTTAAACTAGGACACTACCGGCGGAACGTTTGTTCACTTTATATCCTTTCTCGTTCAGTTTTTGACTTAATTCTTCTTATCACTGGCTTGGGAACGCGTATTCTTAGTCAAAGCTTCGAAATCGATTTTACGCTAACTTATCGTCTCTGGTGTAAATTACGTGTGCCCGTTATTTATATAAATACTCTCAGTTCATATACATTTTTATGCTTGCAATCAATCGATGCCTTCTTCGTCACCTCATTATCCGTTTCTTACCGACAAAAGAGTAACATACAGGCCGGTCGATATTTACTCGTCAGTTTCGTCGTTATCTGGACATTTGAAGAATTGGTATACGTCTTCTATCAGGATTTAATCATCAGTTCCGATGGAAATAGCCGTATGTGCGTACCAATTAACTCAACCTATGCGAAATATCGAATTTACGTCGTGTATCTATTTCTAACGACAATTGTTCCGCTTGCTTTGATCATTCCCTTCGATATTCTCACATATCGACATCTTCGAATGCATTCTCTGCAAAGACAACGCCGATTACTTTCCGTTCTTGCACGACAAATGACCATGATGACTCTATTTCATATAAGCGCCGTGTTTCTATTCCAAGCACCGTTTGCTGCAGCACAATGCTATTTTCTCACTTTCGGGCTCAACAAAGAGCCTGTTCGAAACGCACAAGAACAGATTATTCAGCAGTTTTTCAACATACTTGGCTACGGAATCTATGCTGTAAGTGCAATAACCTCTCTTCTTTTTTCTGTCATGCAGTAAATGTGTACTTATGTAGACATCGTTCTACTGCTACATCTTCTCATCGAAACGTTTTCGTGAACAAGTACGGAGTGTTTTTCCATGCCATCAACCCGCAGTCAATCGAATACAGCCGACTTAGGAATCGCCATGAAGCGAATTACATGTAATTGCATCATTGTTTGTCAAGAAACATGTGGCAGTTTTGTGAATGAAAAGAAAGAAAATATCGACAGAACATTTCATCAGATGCAAACAGAAGACGTTTTTATCATTGCCGGAGCGGGCATTGGCGGCTTAGCTACCGCGCTAGCGCTTCAAAAGAATGGATTTTCGTATGAGATTTATGAACGTGATGCAGATTTTTATTCACGTCGACAAGGTTATAGTTTAACAATTCAAAAGAATGGCTTCGAAGCGTTACAAGAACTTGGCGTAGGCGAACACGTACGAGAAATGGGCAAAGACTCGGTAATTTGTGGAACAACAACATATAATCATCGCGGCGAAATTATTTTCTCTAAAGCAAAGCGAAAGAACAATCGATACGATTTCAATAATTTTGCAGTTCCACGACAATCTCTCCGCGAATGTTTAATGAGAGAATTGAAGCCAAACATAATTCAGTGGAACAAGGAAATACTTCGATACGAACTGATCGAAGGCGATCCTCATCGGATTCAAGTTATCTTTACTGATCATACGTCGACATTTGGCTGTGCATTGATCGCTTGCGATGGAGTTCACAGTGCAATTCGTAGGCAAGCGTTAGGTGACGATTTGAACTATCTTGGCGTATGGGCGATCAATGGTATTGCATCTCATCAACAAAATCCAATTTTCGTAAATCAAACTGTTCAAATGCTTGATGGAAAATCTCGTTTGTTTATCAAGCCTTATTCTCTTGATAAATCCATGTGGCAATTGACCTTTCAAGTGTCGAAAGATGACCATACTTACAACCAGAATGATCTGAACGATTTATTGTGCAAGGCGAAATACACTACGAAAGACTGGCATGAACCAATGATGAAACTAATCAGTGATACATCAGTATCTGATGTTCGTGCTGGTCCCATTTTTGATCGAGATCCATTAGAAACTATTGGAAAAGATCTAGCGTGTGTAACCATGCTAGGCGATGCTGTGCATCCAATGAGTCCTTTTAAAGGCCAAGGTGCTAACCAAGCATTGATGGACGCTATTGATTTAGTGAAGTTTCTGATGAAGTATAGAGGAAAAAGAAATGGCGTTGAACAAGGGTTTTCTGACTTCGAAGTTGAAATGCTCAAACGTTCAAAACGCTATGTTTTACAATCAAGATCAGCCGTCGAGTTTCTTCATACAAACAATGCGTTGCGAAACGAAACTATGTCTCAATTTGTTAGAGAAAAGCTTCTACAAGAATAAATTTACTAGAATCTTTTTGGACCAATTGCAATTAACACGTCCTCGATCGGCTTGTTCGTTGATTTACTCGACAGTGGTCTAAATATTTCTCCTCTTTGTTTCATATACGATGACCTTCGGACACTATACTTCTTTATCCAATGAAAGTACATGTACTATACATGAAAACAATCGAAAGCGAACGTATGTTCTTCAGTCACAGTTGAATAATCATTCTCGCCACGTTATCTTCAATAATAATTGAAAAGGAGAAAAAAAGAAAAAGAGATACTCCTTCAAATCATTTGACCGTTTGTTGAGAAGACAATAGGGAACTACAATACTTAGGATGTCTCTTTTTCAGACAACTCCAGCGAGTTCAATCTAATTGTAATTTGATAATCACTGCTTCGAGTATTTCTTCTAACGTCATATGTTACAACACGGAAGAAAACAATTTGATTAACTGCCGATTGTTGTGACGGAAGTAAATGTTTCGATTCAATCTTGCGAAATATAATATAAGCTTGGACATTTTTAGTTTTTCGTCTGTTTAGTACCAACACAACCATCTTTGCAACTTATTATAGTAAACTGATCACAATCGTGCAACAAAAACCACATCGACGATCGTTAAGTAAACACTCACCGACCTTCTGTTACATTGCATTTATATTAATTCATATCCTCGAAACATCACGACCAAGAGATATCTTAACAGAACAGCGTTATTCCCTCCTCTTCTAATAAAGATCTTGTTCAGCGATATTTTTCTTCAACTATCTATGTATCAATACTATTAGTCGCCTGGTTTGATCGTTCGGCCGAAACCAATTCTTGAAAATGCTTATTTATTCAGCCAGAATGATTTAACACTATTTTGTTCAAATTTTGTAGCCAGGCAGCCCTGTATCAAATCTTTTCAATAAACTTATGGCTCGAAATAAAATTGACAACAATTAGTCATTCGTTGCAGAATTGCGTCTTCCTTCAAAATACGCATAAAAGAAAGGACGACCATTGTTCCCTTCTAAGTGTTCGAGCACCGCATTCCAATCTGAAAAATATTAGAATCAATTTTTTTTCAGTTAGGGAAATATTGTTTCATCCGCATTGATCTGCTTGTTAGTTATTTGCTCACTTGTTTTAATATCCAGATGTGATTGTGTTCTACACAAGTGCTTACTCAACACTCAAAACAATGATAACGATATTTTTTTGAAAGAAAGAGTCTAGTGCAGGAAAATATTTATTCGAGCTCAAATATTCTGTGCGACTTTGATGGAAACAAAGACATGGGCGATTGTCTTGTTTGTAAAATATTTTCTCATAGTAGCGATTAATAATAATTCTTTCATTTGGTGAATCACGATTCTGTCCAACAGCAAGTTGGAGGCCGTATGGAACTACGTTCGCAAAGGCGGTCACTGCTCCGGACAGTTCTCTATGCATTACAACTAATAACTCAGTTTATATTGCTTCCTCAGGCAACTGTGATGTTTGTTTTTCGTTGAACATTTCTATGGAGCCGAGAAAAATAGTGTCACGTACAATCGAAAGATGGACACGAGTCAAATGTTTCCGTTCCCGCTATGTAGACTCCTTCAAGGTCTGCATATCTTTTCATTGCTATGAACAACACTTTATATTGTTCATTGATAAACTATGACAAAGCTGTGAAAGAAGGGCTAGGCAACAACGTTGTTGATAACAGTTGTCTTCACATTGAAATTCTGGATTGTCGTCTTCGAGTATTCCTTCATATGGACCAACGACTAAATGCATGCGTTGCTTGTGAACGAGCAATCATAGTGATGAAAGGCGCGCGTTTCGTTAAGAGAAAAAGTCGACAAACAGCGCAATTCGTAATGACTGTGCTATGCCACTTATCCATCGTCTCGTTTTCAAAGTTATAATACCGGTCATGCTTACTTTCGTTATTTTTGTGTTATCATCAACATTTTATAGAAAGCAATTTTGCCGATCACTTGATCAATATCGGAATAGGATTCAACATCACTTTTATATTTTTCTGTAACAATAACAACGAATGGATGCTTATTTCTATTGTATTCACATCATTCCTCTTGCATTCTGTCTATATCGTGTTAATCTTCATCGATTAAAAAGCAGTTAGAAGTCGGCCACTCGATTTTTATTGGTATTCTCTCATCAGAAAATCGATTTAAGAAGAAAACAAATTAGATGAGTAGAGAAACCTTCAATTGTCGATTGAGAATATCCATTTTAAGTGCATCAGCTTCTTCTTTTGGAATTGCATTGTTTTGGACAACCAAAAACTGAAGATAAGGCAAATTCAAGATATTTCTTGGAACATGAGTGATTTTTGTATTAGCTAGGTCCAAAAATGAGAGGCGTTTGAGTAGAGCAATGTGAGAAGGAATCATTGGAATATTCGAGACAGCAATTCTGATTTCGGTGATGTTCTTACAAAGTAAAAGGTAAGACATATCCATGACCGGATTGTGATTCATATCAAGTCGACCAAGTGCTTCAGGTATTTCGAGCATTGGAATCTCAGTGAATTGATTTTTGTAAAGTGACAATGATCGAACTTTTACCAAACCTTCAAGTTGAGTTAAACGATTGTTTGGAAGACTAACCGTAGTCAGATTCTTCAATTCGCTAAGACTTGGCAACTGAGTAAGTGAACAATTGTCTAACATTAAACTTTGAAGTTTCACGAGACTTGATAATTTCTCGGTCATTTTAGTAATGGGTGTGTTCGCTATACCAAGAGTATGAACTTCTTGAAGATTTGATAGAGCATCTGGAACAACACCATCGACGAAAAGCATATTTCTGATATCTAAAGCTTGAAGTTTCTTCAAACAGAAGACGCTTTCAGGAACGAATTTTCCGGCTTGTCGAAGTTGAATCATGTTGACAGTTGAATTTGTCGGATCTAAGATAGCCGTACTCCTGTCAGGTCCTTGTTTTTTATAATCCAGACCAACAGGAAATGGTAACTTAGAAAGAATATCCAAGTCATTGGCATATTGATCACATCGTACATCTGCATGGCATTTCGTCAAAAAGCCACAGAAGATGAAGAAGAGAGCAACAATCTTGATTTGCACCATTGTTCTTATCTTTTCAATTGATTTGATTGACATATATTTTCTGGCTATATATGATTCGCAATACAGAACAAAACCTGACTTTGAGAAACATTACGGGTATTATGGGATGTGCATTTAATAGAATTGTAATCGATACACTTGACATTAAAAAGTACTTTCAGCTGGGCGAGGATTACATACAAATGGTTCTATTTACGGAGGCGGCCTGTTATTTTCATTGCAACTTTGTGACAAATTTTACATATGAAAAACAAAAGGAGTAGAACAAAACAAACGTGTGACACGTCGAGCACCGACTAGTTGAGTTTAGTTTCAATCCTAGTTGATAATTCATCATTCAATTGTAAGTCAAATAAGTGTTCTCTATCAAAAGCAGATCATTCAAAACTCATGGGAATCTCATTTACTTACTTCTGATGAGCTATGAAAGAATAAACAACAAGACATCCTTTTTGGATTGATGTTCCTTTCAAACCGTTGACAAAGTGTATCATTTTCTTCTTTGTTATACATACAATGACTTTCGTACATTATAATTCATTGTTCAATGAGAGAGAGAGAGAGAGAGCATGTATTAGATGAGAACAAAGACACAATTCTCGGTCACGATTGAATGATCACCATCACCATTCTGTCTTCGACAACAATCGTGAGAGACAAAAAAATCAATACAAAGATACTCATGCGATTGATTTGATTGGTGAGAAGACGATGATTAGGTGCAAATCGTATTTTCGTTTGTTTCGACTTTTTTTTAGACAACTCCAGCGAGTAGTCAATGTTTCAAGCGTTTTCTTCGACGCCATCTACTGGAATGTATATATTCACTAGTTAATGTATAAATTTGCTTCTACCAAACGATAAGTAGTAACTATACTCGTCGAGAATACATAGCAGAGACAGGAAATATTGGATTAACATTCCTCAGTGATAATACTTGATGTACATCATCAATGTGAATAAATTCCATAGTGTTAATTTTTTGCCTGCAGATTACCAGTACTTTTGTCTTGCGGACATCATCCATCAAGATATAAAAGTTGCATGTAACACGTTATAGTACAAACTGTATATGTGAAACAATTGCCCAGCGTTTATGTAATTAACACAGTGGGCTTGTTTTCCATCTCAACATTATTGATTCCTGCCATACAAATGTCATTTGTTCAACGGAAGTTACAAGAAGAATGATATTGTTTCCCCGCTCGGTAAAGATTGAGTTTATAAATAACTTTCTCAGAGATATCTCGTCTGTAAAATACTTTTAGCCACTCAGACTGGTCGGCAAATTAAAAATTAGATTCCTCAGCATTTTGCTAAAGGTAATATAAAAACTCTAATCAAACAAGTCCAATTCATTCACTCATGTTTATCATTTCATTTAGATCTCCTCCTAAACATTTCTTCCAACGTATTACAGTCTGATAGTTGGACAACAAACATGTGCAGAATAAAAGAATTCGAATGGACCGAACGACTGACCGACCAGAACTCCGGCTGAGTAATCACCAGCGTGATTCATTATCGGAAAATTCCAGCCGCATAGTCACAGCCTTGCAAAAAAGGACTTGTTACTCCATCTAAAACTAATATAAAACCTTCCTTTGACATGCATAAATTGCTAAAGTCTCATTATTCTTCAATTTATTTTCAATAAATCGGTCTATCGGAGAAGCTTTCTTTTACCCGAACTCTGTCATGATGTTGATAGCAACTAGCGCACCTGATATACTAGGACGTATCAGAACTGCATTATTCTCCCGACAATATATACAAACAAAAGGAAATAATGACGGTCATCCTAATCAGAAGTCGAATTTTTGCAAGCTCGGTGCATCGAAGAGATCGACTAGCTATTCAATAATTGCCTGTAGAATTCAATTTGGTGACGCGAAAAGTCAACAGTGTTTAATTTCAGCTCTTTCAACATTCGCCTGTCCGAACAAATTAAAGTAAAGATCGATCGTTTTCTCTCTAAAACAGATTTTATCTTCGGCAATCGTTAGAAGAAAGTTTTGTCGAAAAGATTCGTGTACACAGGTGGTACAATGGCAAGAATGTATAATATCTTCGTCGGTATCTCAATGACACTTCAAATCGACTTCTTGGCTGGTCAAATGAAGAAAGATGTTTATTTTCACTTGAATGAGTTGTACATACAGCAGCAGTATTCAATCTGTCAATCATTTCATATGAGTCAAAGGATAGCGGATATGTTTGTGAACTTTGCGGCTCATTAAAAGATCTTCGAACAGATCTTTGCGAACTTCATCGATTAGATTGAGTGATTCAGCTACGAATGACACTTTTGTTACTCTTTGAATAGACATTCTTTCAACAGAAAATATTCCTTTTCAATCTCGATTTTAACCAATTCATTTCTACAGTAATTCTCATCTTCTCGTTTTTGCTTTTACGTATCTTTCTCAATTGATCCGCATAATTGCTTATTTACTATTGATTCTTTATTCAATTTGCAGTAAAATTCAATTGATTCTCAAGCTAAAATAGAAATATTTCATCGAACTTTGCTCAATAATAGAGTTCGGTTCCATCATCTATTCGATTTCAATGATTCTTGCTTCTTTTTATATACGACTAAATTTCTTAGTTCGATTTATTTTCTGTTTCTCTCAAGACTGAATTTCTGCTCAACGTTATTGAAAACCTGCCAAATGTTCTTCGAATCAGTTATCAAGACCACGGATCTTTTCTTGGCCGATTAACATTAACTCTGTTCACTCCGGCAGTCTGCGTCTTGTATATGAGAAAGTCACGGACAATCTAGAAGTGTTTTCATATATGTTCGGGAAGATTCTTCGATAGATGATAGGTAAAGATACCGTTCGGACTGTCGTTCAAACGAATCTTTGTTTCACAGGACTACGAAAACGACCGGAGTACGGAAAGTGGTCAGACAATTCGTTCGCAATGTTTACAGACAGTGGATGCATTAACAGTCAGAACAAGTCAATCGAGTAAGAATCTTTATTCTTAAATCTGACTTCATGTTTCCTCCTTTCAGACGTATTTTAACCAACGAATAACAATAGTAGAGGAAATACGATCAAACTACTAAATTTCTTCACACTCAACGATGCGCTTGCCCACAGAGAACTTCTTTTGGAATAGCTTGAATAGCAAACTCTTTATTGACAAACAAAACGAGATCAAATCAAATAGCTGAACATCGAGAAACATTGCTAGTGCAATAAATACCAGATATATATCCGACACCGCCTTGGTTTAAATTCATCTCGTACCATTTGTTGTTAGTTAACCCATCTCTCGTTACATTTTCACCTTTGACCCAACAATTAACTAAAAATTCGTCTTCAATACGAACAGTTCCTACAGACGCACATCGAGTGTTACTGCAGATAGAAATGCTGGTGTTTTGTTCGCATTGAATGAAATCAACAACAGCAAGGATTGTATGAGTGATGTTCAGAAGCCAGAATATGATCAAAACGATAGAAAAGATGTACATATTTTTCTTCTTTGTCTCATACAATGACCTTCGAAAACAAAGACACAATCTTTGGTCACGGTTGAACGATCGTTATCACCACGTTGTCTTCAACAACAATCATAAAACGAAAAAAAACTGATTGGAAGACATTCATTCGATTGGTTTGACCGCTGAGCAGACAAAACTAAAATTTAAAGCATTTGTCTCTATCAGCGATGTTTTTAGATGATTTCAGCAAATATAATATGGTGTTAATTTTATAGTTCGTGTTTCAAATATTGCCTTCCTAGGCAATCCATAAAAATCATACTTCCATCTAGGTAGCCGATGAACATAACGACCTATTGTCTTCAACCATGGAAATTACTAGGCCGTCGAGCAAATACTATGGAAAAGTGCTCGCCTAACTTTGATACAACAGCTGCAGCGTGGATATTGAGTCATTTTACACATGAAACAATTCTACCGCATATCAATGCATGGCTAAACTTCCAAGGTTTGGTTTCTTTATGTAATGGATGCAAAAATATTTATCTCGGCAAACCTATACGTTATGTGAAGTCAATCGGAGTAAGACATTGAATTCAATGCCGTGGAGAAAAACAGCCAGCGCTGTTATGCTCGATGTTATCAGTTTTTGTTTAAATTGCATTTTTATTATTCGGTAAATACTCGATTTTCACACTCTTTATGTCGACAGCTCATACGTGAATACTTCTAGACTTCCCAATTTATCAGCATATGTAAGCACAGCTTCACCTTTCTGTTGGGACATATTTTAAAGTAATTTATGAACTCCAGCCAAGTAAGTTCGATTGACCAATCGCTATTTACCTAACTTCGAACCGAAAACTTCTGTTATTTAGAATATGAAAACACGAAAGTGTAGAGTTAGACGATGTATCTGCACAGAATTATCACGAGCGTGATATATTATCGGAAAAATGATAACATCACTGAAAATGTTTCTTCATCCGACCACAAGCCAAATCAGCATTAGCTCATTACAGTGTGTCATCGCCATTATAATAATGATATGACCTCTTCCAATTCGCTTTTAGTGAATTGATTACTTGAGAGACTGATCGTAATCGAATTGTAAAATAGGCATATCAACCTACCGTGCAAAGTTTCCACAAAATATCATCGAATTCTATGAAAACAATCCTTTGAAATCGTTCTTCAAGAATATTTTCTGGTACGATTTAATACTTTTTCAATAGTGTGTTTCACAAAAGAATAAAAACGATTTCAAAGCAGTGAATAGTTGATGATTATGAGTTATCCGTTCGTGTATGAACGTCTCACACACATCCGCATGCAACGTCATTGAATTCTTCAGGAAGTTTGTATTCATTTACTAATGTATCATGTTCTGCATCAACAACAATGACCCAACGCAGGATTTGCTCCGGACTTTTGATACAGAATTCGTCACGGATCTCATCGACATGATTGTAATAAACCGTATCATACTCGTCCCACCACGAATCTGTATTCCGTACTTTATCTAGTTCATTCTTCGTTACTTGTAATACTTTACCCATCCGAATCTCTGCACATATAATAGCACCTCCGTGTCTCGCTTTGCCTAAAGTAGATGCTTGTGATCGAGCGAAATATATACCGAAGCCGAGCATTTGCGGCGGCTTGTTGCTAATTCGAAAGTCACTGTGGGCAATGCTTGCTGCAGCTTGGACACTTGTTTGGTGAAAACCAATGTAGCGGCCGTGTTCGCGCGTATGTATCTCTCGTTTGCGCACTTCTGACCAGCGAAGTTGAGGTGTATGTGCATCACGATGAAAGATTAGTACATGTTCCATACTCCTAACAGTGCACTCCTGCCCGTTATCACATGGTTGATCGCCGAGTTTCATTGTTCGATTATTGCCGAGAAGGTGGTGAGGAATGTAACGTCTGTGCTTTTTTGATAGCGGTTCAGTACTTTTGTTTTCCAATTCGTATGACGGTAAATAATGCCACCATATTCGATAATGCAGTACTTGAAGAAGAATTGCCAAAAGCAAGAATAGCCACGATGCACCACACAATCCTGCCAATGAGTTTCCTGCCGACTTAATTCCTGCCGCTAGATAGATAATAAATGCTGTAAATCGACAGACCAAGCAGAGAAACAGAAGAACCATCCGAATCACAAAACGATGCTTTGGTCGAGTGACATAACACGGACAATTACAATTCAATGTAACGAAACGTTGCACAGCAGGACTATGGCACATTTGTCCGATGCATTCTAGTAATTCGTCTTGTTGCTTTTTCTCTTTTTTCGAATCGTAGCAACATACCACGCACAGAATATAAGCGCATGATGCCGAAATAAAGAACAGCATCACCAATGCAATAGCTGATCCAATCATATCGATTATATATCCAATTAACGCTGTACTATTGTCTCCCACGCTCTTGTTCTTGCCATTATCATCTCGGTAGCCGGAGTAGAAAATTATTATTCGGATGAATGCAAATATACTGTCCAAAATAACTACTGTTATGTTGTAAGAATGTAAACGTCGATAAGAGCTTACATCACGAAATTTAGCAGAAGACAGTGTCGACCTCAACCACATCGCTGAACAAACCGGCAAGCAACTGATCTCGAAACAAGTGTGAAAGCGAATGTCGCATTCCAGGTGCTTATAATTATATCATAGGACTAAATACCAGACCTCAGATAAGAATTCTACCGTTACTTCGTTTTGTTTGCCTAGAAAGTGTTTTATGTTTGTAACGGTGTCAACTTCATCGTTGCACGGTATTTCAAGGTTAAGCCAACGGAATGCGTTGTCATATACTTATAGTCAAAAATCGAAGTTTTTCTACGGAATTAAATTCTTGTCTGTCGTGAATCAATCATTTGTATTTAATTCTACTAAGACATTTTTGAGAAAAGAATGTTGTGTTTTGATAAATGCAGATGCTTCTTATCAGCATAAGAAAGATACATAAAACATTTTTCAGCGAAATCTTGCTCGATACTCTTCTAGATAACAGTTAAGTATTCTTCTCTTCACATGCAGCTTTAGTGTATCAGTTCGAAGTCAACAACAATATAACAATGGGAACAAGCAACAGTCGTAAGTTGGAGAATTTCTATTCAGCTTGCTGTACGAATCAAATCAGCGAAGTAAAAGAGCATTTAAATAAACTATCAATAAGCGAATTAAACCAACATCACGCCAATGGCAATACGGCCTTACACACTGCCTGTCAGAATGGTTTTCACGAAATCGTTCAAATGTTACTCAGGAAGGGCGCTTCTAGTACAGCTCTCAATGATGATCGACAAACACCTGTTGATCTTGCAAAAACACCTCAAATAAGAGCACTTTTTAAACAAGCAGCAGGAAGCCGAGATCGAGCACGTTTTGGTGCATTGTTAGGACAAATAGAATGGAATTTTTCGAGCGATCATGCGAAATGGTACTGTCAATACAGCAAAGCGAGTTTTGCAACCCATGAAATAACACTTGATCAAGTTGTATCTCGAGTGTTGACCGATAAAGAAGTACGAAGATTTAAAGAAATGAGCAATGTAAGAAGTATACTTAAAGAATGTCAGACCAAACAAGACCCTAATTATTTACTGAGAGCTTATACCTGTGATTCGGACTTTTACAAAGAACTTAATAAAACTTTGGCTAGAGAAGATGGAGTAGTTGAGAAAGAAGACGTGCTCAAACGTTGGGATTTCGTGTATACTGCGGCAATTTTAAACCGACCGGATTTGAAAACATTTCAATACAAAGGCATCACTTATCGTGGTATGTGGATCACTGAGGAAGACTTAGCATCATACAAAGTTGGTGCAAAAATGTATAATAAAAGCTTCTTGTCAACATCGAAAATTATCGAAGTCGCCGAAGATTTCCTATACAAGCATATGGATTTAAGTAAGGCACCTGTCATATGCGAGTATCATATCAGCACACCAAAGATTTCGTTAGACATTTCGAAATACTCTGTATTTGAAAACGAGCNGCTCGAGAGACGAAACTCAATCTGTTTATTCGAAAACAGAACAAAGAAGAATGTAGAAGAACGATAAGAGAAAACAGATGGAGAATGATGTGAAGGTATGTTATGAACATGCCTGTAACAATGAGTCATATATCTGAAGGTTGGAAATATCTAAAAATTTTCTTTCATCTGAACGGTGATTTTAATGGAGATGGTGTAGACATCATATATACACTAGAATGTATGCTATTATCTATTGCGCCTTCTCCACAATCGCTTCGTTCTCATACTAAGATCATGTTAAGGTGCGGCTTCACAATGCACGACATAGGACGAGAAACGAAAAGACAATTAAGCAGCCGATATTCATGATACAGCTCGGTCAGAAACGCACAATAAAAATTACTCATTAAAATGTGTTAATTAATGATGAAATGCGCTCTTCGTATTTGAATAACATTTGATCTGATGTTCTAATGCAATAATAAGTATATTTTTGCACTTCACATGAAATTATACGGTTACAATAATACGACGTCATAGATCTTTTCTCTCTCTCTCTATTCTTTCATTCTGACATAACGTATTCGTTTATCAAAAACTATGATCATGTGCGTTCTCCTTAAGCGTTTGATTACTTCACATATAAACGCAAACAAAAGGTGATGAATAGAGAGACAAAATACACGTTTTCTTATTCGATCGACAAGTACATCTCTATTGCCTTCAGCGAATATTAAACAACGTCCTTTGTGAAATATGTCCAACATAAGTATTCAAATTGGAAACGATCGAATTCAAGGGAAATCTGTCGGTTCGAATCGATGGCAATTCTGGTTACACGATAAACGATTCAATATTGATTCTTCTGATGCAGTTGATGATGCTATAGAAATACTAGCCGAACGAGAGATTACCGTGGGAGGAAAACTAGTCCGTCCAAATGTATGGACAGCAGAATATTCGTTTTACGGCGCTTCATCATGGGGTACCGTTTATATACAGTACACTTTGCAATTCGATACAGCATCAATGAAAGGAACTGTTAAAAGTGAAACAAACGTCGATGCTTAATGAAAACAAAACGACCAATAGAGAGCCTGGCATTTTCCATTTTTCACTAGTTGAACTGATTACATATAGAATAAACCTATGTCTATTTTTGATAATTATAATATGCGAAGTTCAGTTTCCAGGCTAACTAACATTTATCACTGAAGACAACTCTAGCTTTAACCAGTCAGATAAAAAATTATGATATTGCGTGATATAATAGCTTTTTTCTCTTAAATCTACTGAATATCATGCGTTTGTTGATATTTACAATTGCGTTTTAATTGTTGACTAAATATCCGTTAGTAAAAAAAGAAAAACTGTCATGGTTTATGATACATCTGTCGTTAAATTTCGAGCTCAACTAAGAATAAAATATGACGCAGATACATAGTTTTCTTCTACACTCATTTGTTCTCGCTTTTATATATATTATTTTCATGATGAAGTGCTTATCGATCGTTATTCTTTGGAATCTATTCTTCCTTTCAGGCTCGGACATATCGCAGCCGACCTATAACCTTTACAATACCGATACGATGACAAGTGACGTTGATCACGATTGTCTCTATTTTTCAATCATTAATGATCCCGATATCCATGAAAGATGGGCAATAAGTCAACAGGATGTGGAATACTGTATTCGAACAAAGGAGGAAGGTGTGAGTGACGACAATGAAAACGCTATATCATCTATATTACCTTTCGATGAATTAAAAAAGAGAAATATCACTTCTGAAAATCTCTTGAAATGGTCGGCTCCTATTGATACTGTCGAACACTACGAACATTATTTACAAACGAACAGATCCACATTATTTACTCAATTTTATAATTGTATGCTGCCATGGTTTGGACCGTTTTGTCAGTATAGAATGATTTCATATCGACCGTTTTCTCATCTCATTCAAATGAGACTTACCGATAAACAAGTACACTACAAGAGTACGAAAATAACCTGTTACATGCATATTCAGTGCAATATTAATCCAGCTTTGCTTTGTCTTGACTGGCGTGAGGTATGCGATGGAAAGATTGATTGTTTAAACGGTGGCGAGGACGAAAAGGATTGTTTTGAACTTGAAATCAATCGCTGCGAGGAACATGAATATCAATGTCGGAATGGGATGTGCATTGACAAAGAGTTTCTGCTCGACGGATATGTCAGCGCGAATAACATGGAATGTTTGGACGGCTCAGATGAAACCGGACATCGTCTGCTGATACCCTGCTCAAGAGATTCATCTTTTTCATGCGAAGATATCTTCTCTCCACGCTTGACAGACTTTAATTGTGGAGATGGAACATTTCTCAGTGTACTTATATCACACAATCACATGAGTTGTGCAAATGAACGAAATCGAGCACTTAATTACTTATCTGATTGGCACAATCCGGGAAGCTTGCATTATCCGCGTTGTTTCAAAACTCTCATGTGTGCATCAAATTTGAGATTATTAAATAACTTCGATCTGTATTGCAAAAAATTATGTAATAGTAGTGAAGAATGTAAACTTCATACCCTCCAACAATGTCCATCGGCATTTCTCGCACCTGATTTTCCGATATGGCACAGTCATGTTAAATACGGCTATTTTTCGAATCAGACTATAAAAAAAATAGGAAATCTACCGCACTTTGTATGTTATAACGAGACTCTCTGTCCACACATCGCTTCAACATTCATGCTCGAAAATTCTACGTGCTTACATGTCAACCAGTCAGACCCAGAAGCGATTGATACTGTGTATGACATATTTCGCTCATGCGATAACACCTTTCAAACCGGAGATGAGGTTAGCTGTACGGATTCGACAATGGTGCGTTGTGCGAAAACAAATCGGTGTATACCGAAGCGTCGAATTATGGACGGTGTTGTAGATTGCTATCATGCTTTTGATGAATCACTTTCGATTGATTCGTGTGCATTAAATGATCAATATCGTTTTCCATGTACATCTGAACAGAAATGTTTAGCGCCGATTTTGGTCGATGACAAGAAAATACATTGTAATAACAGAGAAGATGAAACTAGCCTAATGGGAGTTGCTAGAGACATTCATAAACTACCGTTTATTGCCTTTTGTGATGGGAAAAATGACCTTTTATCGGTGAATAACGAAACGGAGGAAACTCACTGTGAAGCATGGCCATGTGCGAATGCATATACACGCTGCAATCAGTATTGGAATTGTCCAAATGGTATTGATGAAGTTAATTGCTCATCAGTTTCTTCATGTCCTGTAAACCATCATCCTTGTTTGTTACCGCACACTCATAAGATGGGTTGTTTGCACATCGATCGTGTCGAAGATGGAATTATGGATTGTCTTGGAGCAACAGACGAACCGTCCTATTGTAAAGCGTTCGATGCAGGAAACAAGTTTCTACACTACCATTGTTGGAATGATACTAAGTGTGTATCAGTGTCAACTGCTTGTCTATATTGTCATGACATCAATGACGTTATCGTATTATGTGACAAATCTAATCCCGTTAACGTAGCTTTCTTTCATTACTTTGCTGAACGAGATTTTGCTGGTGCTACTCTGATGTTAAAAGCACAATTTTCTCATAAGTCATCGTCTGTGTACCCTTCGATTCAATTACCATCAACAGTTCATAAACAAATATCCAGTAACATGATAACAACAGAGAAAACGTCTCGCATTCAACTGCTTAACGACTCCAGATTGTGGTTATGTAACAAAGGTCTCGTAATTCTCGTTGGTAAGAACGAAACCAAACAATGTCTCTGTCCAGAAACTTACTATGGCAATCATTGCCAATACCAAAATCAACGCGTTAGTCTTACTCTTCGATTACATCAAGAAAAATTATTCAAATTCACTGTGATTGGCATTATTATCAGACTTGTGGATACAACAGGTTTTATTCAATCCTATGAACAAATTACCTACGTTCCAGTGACCCATTGCAATGCTAAATACAATATGTATCTTCTTTATCACCATCGACCGAAAAACACAACGGAAAACTATACAATTTATATTGATGCTTATGATAAAGTAGATCTTCTTTATCTCACGAGTTGGATCTATCCAGTGAAATTAAAATTTATGCCTGTCAATCGTATGAGTGTTCAGTTGATTATACCCGCAAAGCAAGATTGTCGGTTGGTATGTAGTGAGAAATACTTCGAACTATTAAGAAACGACCGTCGCCAATCCTGTCGGTGTGTAAGTCGAATACAAGCAACTGTCGACAAGTGCAGTTGTTCTTCCGAATCGATCTGTGTTGGTATGAAAGAAAATCGATCCATCTGTCTTTGTCCTCTGCACAAAACAGGACCACGCTGTTATTTGAATTCCATCTGTGAAACGAACAATTCATGTGTAAACAAAGGCATTTGTGTACCTCATGATTCGCGACATTCTCCGACAAATTATACCTGCGTATGTCCCGATGGATTCTTTGGTAAATACTGCGAACAAACGGACGTGAAAATCAATGTTTCAATTTCGGGTATCGAAGCTCCTCAGTCGGCACTAATTCATTTCATTGATGTTGCACAGAGTACGTCAACAAGAATCGAACCCGATGTAACTCAAACAACAATATTTAAGAGGATTGGAATTAATGAAAATGTTTTAATTTTAAACATGTCGTTATCATTTCATCTTCTGTTTGTTCAGTTCGAGCATTCTTATTATCTTGCAGTTCTTCAACATGATTACGTACCATCAGTTGTTATTTTATCTGAGATCTCTCCATCAAGACGTTGTCCGGTTACCCACGAACTGATGGACTCAACTATTCTAGCTTATTCAGTTGTACGTCGTGTGAAACATTATCATTCAATATGCCAACAGTATGCTAAACTTGATTGTTTTCATGATAATTACACGTTTATGTGCTTATGTACAAATGGGCGAGAAGCTAACTGTTTTCATTTCAACTACAACACAACTTATAAATGTTCAGGACATAGTAATTGTGAAAATGGCGCACGTTGTTTTCAAGATCATCCACATTGTCCAACGAAAACCATGTGTGTCTGCCAGGAGTGCTTTT